GATAATTCTGTTTCCTTTCTTTCTCTCTGTTACACACACAAACACAAATAACTTCTCAAACATGAGAAGACAGTCTACCTCAATAATAATTTGAAAACTGTAAGCCTCAATATTGGTCATTTTCCTATATCAGACGGATAAAAAATGATGTGAATGATATGTTGACAAAACCATGTAAAAACGAGCCCCCTCATGTGCATATACCAGGGGTGGGGAACCTGTAGTCTTAAGGCCACATGTGGGCTTCTAGGTCCGTAAGTGTGTCCTTTTGACTGAATCCGAATTTTACAGAACAAATTCTTTTATTAAAAGGGGTATAGCACCAGCCTGATCAAGAGTGAGACCCCATCTCTACTAAAAATAGAAAACAAATTAGCCAGACATGGTGGCACATGCCTATAGTCCCAGCTACTCAGGAGGCTGGGGCAGGAGGATCGCTTGAGCCCAAGAGTTTGAGGTTGCTGTGAGCTAGGCTGACACCATGGCACTCTAGCCTAGGTGACGGAGTGAGACTCTGTCTCAAAAAAAGGGGGGGGGGGTGCAACAGAGAAAGATGAAGCTTTTCTCGCCTCCTTTGGTGCTTAAAAAATAACAATTTTGAAATCAGAAGGCCTCAGCTTCCCTATACCAATATGTGCCAGTATGTGATAATTATAAAAGTGTATGTGGCCAGGCCGGTGGCTCACGCCTGTAATCCTAGCTCTCTGGGAGGCCAAGGCAGGCGGATTGCTCGAGGTCGGGAGTTCGAACCAGCCTGAGCAAGAGCGAGACCCCGTCTCTACTATAAATAGAAAGAAACTAATTGGCAACTAATATATATAAAAATTAGCCGGGCATGGTGGCGCATGCCTGTAGTCCCAGCTACTTGGGAGGCTGAGACAGAAGGATCGCTTGAGCCAGGAGTTTAAGGTTGCTGTGAGCTAGGCTGACGCCACGGCACTCACTCTAGCCTAGGCAACAAAGCGAGACTCTGTCTCAAAAAAAAAAAAAAAAAAAATGTATGTGATTCTCTGATCCAGCAATTTCTAGAATTTATTTCTCAGAAATAATCTGAAAATCACACAAGGATGCTCACTGCATCTGTGTTTATATAGTTATTGTAAAAAGTTGAAATAGAATCAGTTAAATAAATTACAATATATTAACAAGCACACAATGAAACACAGCCACTAAATCAAAAGAGTTGTATGCTTTGACAGGGAGACGGGGTCTTCCTCTTGCTCAGGCTGGTTTCTAACTCCTGACTTTGAGCAATTGGTCCACCTCGGCCTCCCAGAGTGCTAGGATTTACAAGTGTGAGCCACCATGCCCGGCCCAGCACAGAATATTTTAATCAAAAGTAAAAATACTTTTAAAATTTCAAAATGTTAAAAACCACCAGTCAAGGAACTTAAAACTAATAGTGACTGGTGTTTTTTCCTCAAAAAGTAAGGTGTTGTGGCCGGGCGTGGTGGCTCACGCTGTAATCCTAGCTCTCTGGGAGGCCCAGGCGGCGGTTGCTCGAGGTCAGGAGTTCAAAACCAGCCTGAACAAGAGCAGACCCCGTCTCTACTATAAAAATAGAAAGAAATTAATTGGCCACTAATATATATATATATATATAATAATATAAAATTAGCCGGCATGGTGGCGCATGCTGTAGTCCCAGCTACTCGGGAGGCTGAGGCAGAAGGATTGCTTGAGCCAGGAGATTGAGGTTGCTGTGAGCTAGGCTGACAGCATGGCACTCACTCTAGCCTAGGCAACAAAGCGAGACTCCGTCTCAAAAAAAAAATAAATAAATAAAATAAAAATAAGTGTATAAAAATGCTTGATGTGGCCGGGCACGGTGGCTCACGCCTGTAATCCTAGCTCTTGGGAGGCCGAGGCGGATTGCTCAAGGTCAGGAGTTCAAAACCAGCCTGAGCAAGAACAGACCTGTCTCTACTATAAACAGAAAGAAGAATTAATTGGCCAATTGATATATATATATAAAAAAATTAGCCGGGCATGGTGGCGCATGCCTGTAGTCCCAGCTACTCGGGAGGCTGAGGCAGAGGATCGTCGAGCCCAGGAATTGAGGTTGCTGTGAGCTAGGCTGACGCCACGGCACTCACTCTAGCCTGGGCAACAAAGCGAACTCTGTCTCAAAAAAAAAAAAAAAAATGCTTGAATGCATAAAACAGAATATTTCACTAAAAAGGTTAAGAACAATAAAATAATATAAATATTCATGTATATAAATATTAATTTTTAAAAATAAGAAAAATTAGGCCAAGCACAGTTCACGCCTAAAAATCCCAACTTTGGGAGGCCGGGGTGGGAGGATTGCTTGAGGCCAGGAATTCAAGACCAGCCTGTCAATACAAAAAATTAAAAAAAAAAAATTAAGTTAAAATTAAAATATGAAAATTAAGTGAAGTAAAATAGCTTATGGATTGTTAATAATGGATCACTGCTTATGGGTAACTAATCTCTAAATTAGTAAATCTGTGCAAACCATTAGTCTCCATTTTAAATCTAAAAATAATTTCAGTGTCTTACTGGCTATAAAATTAAATTTATTACTTGATTCACAATAACATAATTTCCTATGTGAAAGCATAGCTTTGGATAACTCAGGATACTCAGAAGAATTTAGAAGCTAAAGGCTATAAAAGCTGCCTTCCCCCTCCTTGATGAAAAATGCACAAGTACAAGGTCATACGCTTGACGAAGACAGTCTTTATGGGTGGCAGATAATCTAAAACCAAAAGGTACTGAGCTTACAATATACTATGCAATTTGCAGTAGACTTAACCTTTCTTTAAACTCTTAGCTTAGAGCAGAATTGATATTAAATTTGCATGTGATTAACTGGAGAGAGCTGGAGCCCAAAGCAAGATAGGTATATAAAGGAAAATTCCACATGTGAGTTGTTTTGTCCTTGCTGAATTTTGATAGCTTAAAAATCTTTTATTTGCCCTGAGATCTTTTCAATAGCTTTCAGTTTAATAAAAGTGGTCTTCAAAATTACATGGATGGGTATTAAACCAATTTGGCTAAAAGTGGATGTTCAGAATCTCACAATGACTTACATACAGGTTTAAAACATCACCTTTATTTAAGGTGTTGCCATTCATTTTCCCGTTGCTTTGGTCTGCATCACCATCTTGCTCATCTAGCTGTTCGAGAGCTAGCTGGCGCCAACTCCGCAAAGAGGATTTCCCCACCCAAAATCCGTCGATGCTGTGGAACAGAGAGAATGTTAAATCTTACAATTAATGTTTCCTAATGTTCTCCTCCCTCCTTTCCTTGTGAAGGTCCCAACTACAATGAATTACAAACACTCAAAATCAGCTATAGTGCACATATTTTTTTTTAAGGCTACTTTCTCATTTTGGCCCTTCTCATTTCTCACTTTAGAATTACAGGTATATAATATTATATTTTGTTTCCATTCTAAATCTAATCCTGCTTCTCCTACCCCTCATTTACGTCCATGCCAATCACACCAACCAAATGGTCACTTGCCTTCACTTGATTATTATTCACAATTACATACAGCAGTGCCTTTAGGTAGGCATTCAGACACTCACAAATACACATGTACATCCATGTCTACACATTTAGTGAACTAGATCAATCTTTGGGAAATAAAAAACTTAAATTGAACCCACACATAATGAATCTCTCTTTTAACTGTCTTCAACCGGTTCCTAGATCCAGAAGTGGGAACTCTATGGAATGGAGTTCAACGTATCCCAAGTACCCTGAAAGTTTCTGATAAGAAATGGTATGCAGGGGAGCATGCTTCACACACTTACTTCAGCCTCACTAAGGGGATATCCGCAGGCCTCCCTGCAGGATGTTTTTCCTTATAACATAAGCTTTGTACTATTCCATACTAGAGCACAGGCTAACACTCTGCCTCAGTTTGGTCAGGCTTCTCACCCACATTTCTGCTTCTTCCTCTCTAGTGGATGGAATACAGTTGCAAAGGCTGTCTGAGTTTTCTTTTCTTCATCGTCGACACAGGGCAATCACTGCAAAATGTACTTTTGCTCTGGCTCTGCCATCTACTTCATCACCCTTCTAAAAATCCTAACTTCTTATTTTCAATGAATAATAATAAGCTGCTTGGTTATTACCTCTTTAAAATGTCTAATAAACAATGCACACTGTGCAACATACCCCTTTACCGTTGCTTTCAGTAGGTTATTAACAGTTTTATAATCTTCATTTAGCTGGTTCTTCAGACGTAACACACGACAACGCTCTACTACACATTCCTTGCACAGGGCTTTCACTAAAGGCAAGAAAGAATGAAGGGAGATATAGTTCATTCACACACAGACTTTCTGTTGGAAAATGTTTCAGCACTTCACAAACACAGACAATGTCTAAATCAAAGTAAAAAAACTTGACAACATGCCAAATTGGTTTATATCCTAAATTATTTTGGTGATATGGATGCCAAGACAGTAATATTGTTATCTACATAAAGAAAAGTGATGAAGGGATGCTTCTTGAGGCCAGGAATTCAAGTTCAAGACCATCCTGGGCTACACAGCACACTGTTAGAAGTCCCTGAAGCACAGGCACAAAACTTGCCTGTGCTTATCAACCAGATAAGAATTTAAGTACCTTGAAGAGTATTATACAAACTAACTAAATACTGCTAGATGGTTCTTTTAAAAGGGTCCTATTTTGTCTGCTTTGAGAGGGGTAAAACAAACAAACAAACAAAAACCAACCAACCTTCTATGAATAGCACCAGTTGCTTAATTTCTACTTTACTTAGAAAATCTTTTATGCAAAGCGTTAGGAACATTTGGTTTAGCACAGTTTGGGTCAAATTATCACAAGCCCTACTCAAAAAGACCATAAGATGAAGACTTAACACACTGCTCTTTTTTTAAGATCTCAAATTACCAGTTAGTCTTGGACCTCCTCCATATCTACTGTAGAAAATGTCAGCTGCATATTCAGATATTCTCTTCATAATTGAAATTTTATCTGGATGAAGCTTGTCGTGGGAACACAGGCAAGCATGATTATCAATAGGCTTGGTAGGTGTTGATTCATCCAACCACTTTTGCAGCCACTCAAGAGAGACAAACTCATAGGGCTCTAAGGAAGAAAGCATCAAAAAGGGTCTATGTATTTTTACAGTTTTTGACTAAGTGATACATTCATTTTCCTCAAAAGACAATGCAAACTCTGTCCAAAGTTAGCAGAAGCAGAAGAATCATTGTTTGGGAAAGATGTTTGATGAATATGACACAAAGCTCCATTTAACTACCACTCCTCTGAGTTCAAGGAACTGTGCAGTACAATACTGAGGCTGCACAGTGCCCTACAAGATCGGCTGGTATTATTAACCACATTCTACAAGAGGCATCCACAGAGAGCAGTGTCTTGCTTGATAGCACAGCAGAGCTTTGATCAGGACACCCGTGTTTGTTGACTACAAGTCATGCTCCACACTGGCTTGCAGCTCACACAACCTTGTTGCCTACTATGTTTTTTTGTAAGTTATTTTCATCAACACTTTTCACAAATATGTGATATACATCTGAAAATTAAAATGAGAAGCCAGACTGAGCTCAAAATTAAAAATTAACCTAGTCAGCTATAACCACACTTTATAAGCCCATTTCAATCATTGGACTTTTCTTCATCTAAGATGATACTGATGTAGATTTTAAAAAGATACTTAATTCCCCCACCCAAATCCATTCCATGAGCTATTCATTACATTATGATTTATTTCAAGAAAGTAGCCTAATTTAAACAAGTTGCAGGATGAAGTACACTAGAAGTGAATTATCAATTTTGAAGTTGCAAAAATTAAAAGATAAAACCAAACACCTCAAAATGAGTTTTAATTGGGGAGAGGGAGTCCCAGAGTTCCTTAAAAGCCAAAATTAAAGATAAAGGGCCAGCTTTGATTACTTACAAAGATCTCCAGTGAGTCCCAGCATAAAACATAGAAGAAAACATACAGAGGTTGAATTTATATGTTTGTATTAATATACTCCTTCGGATGAGATCTGAGGGATAGACACTTCAATGCAAAGCCCATTTTGACCAATTTTATACTCCCCGGAGAGTTACACATCTAGAAAACTAACTCCCATTTTAATGTTAGCATAAAACATTTCAATTTTTACAAAAACAAAATTTGGCACTGCACATCATCATCTGAGAGCCTCTGACTAGTCAGCTCTAATGCGCTACAGAGGAAGAGCACAGGACTGCAAGTTGAGACAAAGGTCTAATCCAAGTTCTGCCACCAAGAAACTGAACTTGAGCAAGTCACTTAAACTCTCTATGCTTCAGGTCTTTTATTTGTAAAATGAAGGTAATAATACCTGCCTTCTACCTACCTCACAGGGATGTTGTTGAGTGTAAAAGATAAGATATGTGAAGCATTTTGAGCTTTTTGGAAGAAAAGAGATATAGAAAAGTTAATTATACATTCACATAATATATAAAAGAGGAGACCTTAAGATGCAGTATAGATAACATAGTTGTAGCATTTTACAACATATCATGGTATGGTTAATTACCTTTGAAATAACTCTCAATTTTATTTGCCATTTATCAAGTTTAATCTGCTAGGGATAGAGTACATTAGGTGTCTAACTGCAGATATTTGCTCCCTATCCAATAGCAAATAAAAAGTTTTAGCATATCTAATCTTTTCCCAAATATAGTCAGATAGTTTAAAATTTTTGGTAACCTTGAAGGCTATCAAAGGAAAAAAGAAAAAAAAAAAGCAACAGCACTGTATAAAGAGCAACATTTTGAGAATAATTCACTAGGTATTTTAGTTTCCCTGGCAGCTGGGGAGGGGTGAAGAAGAAGCAATACCTGCCATTATTGCCAACTGGAAGAATAAACATAAGAATCCTGACCCTTACAATGAAAGGAATCTAGGAAAACTAAAAATGCATTAAGCACTCCTAGCCAGGGGATAGATACAGGAATTCAAGGCCTAGGGTGACTGCTACCCTGATCCGTCCAGCAACAATGGGACTCAAAGGCAATTAGTTCAAGACATTTTTCAATCCCACAGGAAACTTGCAAGTGAAGCTTATTGTTTTGGTTTTTTAATAATTCAATATGAATTTAATGTAAGATACAAAGAGTAGAAAAACCATGTGTGATTTTATAGTAAGAAGAGGAAGGAAGAGAGCAGAGACTGGGCCCATAATTCTAATTTAACACCGTATTTACTATTAACTCAGCCAGATTTTCATTTTAGTGTGCTGTGGGAGCCAGGGAAGGAAGAGCAACTGTGGTCACAGAGGTCTTTCTCACTTTCCATTTTCAATCTCTATCATTACAAAGAGTTACATCAATCTCTGCCAAGAGCATCCCTGAGAACAGGGGTCTAGCACAAGTCTCACAGTTAAGCAGATTGTGCTAGAATCTGTGATTCGGTAAACTACCTAAGCATTTCCTTCCAAAGGCAAGCATAATCAATAACCAAATCGAAGTGAGGCTGCTACCTCGTTATCAAGTTGGAGATATCAGACTACATGGAATTTTAGCATTTGATAAACCAGGAAAGCAACTGTTAAAATATTTACCAAAGGGAAATACACATTTTGGTTCAAAATTATTTCTAATTTTTAAAAAAGTCCTGGATTTTGAAAACAACAAATTTTCTATTGGAGAGTTATAAAGCCTAGAACAATCACAGCATAAAATATATTTGAAACATACTACCTAGAGATAATGTAGGGATATTTCAATTTAAATTAAAAGGACCAAAGGATGTTCTCATGAGGCTTAGATTTTAGGGTAAGTGACCTTTTAAAAAATATGTTCACAAAGATAAGATTTAGAAAATGCATAACAAAAGACTTCCATTGCCAGCACAAAACCATGGTCATTAACTGAGATTTTATATCATCTTAAGAAAACATGGAATTTCCACTATGTAAATTTACTGCAAGTGGAAAAAAATTATAAAGCTAATAATTGGTAATAGTATAAATAACACAGAACATAAGTATAGGTTCTTATACACTGAATGAAAACAGCCATGGGAAGCACAGTGTTAACTCGACATATAACATCTTTGAACTACATAGTTCTAAGGAGTGGTTCAAAATAGAATTTCTCTTTAGACCCACAAGTCCCTTTCTCTTGTCCAGTGAATATAGGAAACTGTGAATAAAGTTCAGAAAATAGATTTCTAGGTCCCAATTCCTTTGAACAATAACCTATAAATTTAGAGAATCGAATCATGGGTTCATTTCCAAACCATTTCCAGTTAAACCAATGTCAGTCTAATTCTTTAGGATAATCTCAACCCTTCCACAGAGTTAAAGAAGCAAGTTACAAAGAAGGGTCAGAAGCAAATTAAGATGCAGTTTTGAAAGAACTTTTGACATCTATTCTTACAAATTTAGTGATTGATATTCGTCTTTTGTTTAAAGTTATACCAGTAATGGAAAATTAAGATATTAAAAAGACAAAACCACAAGTGCAATTATGCTTGAGTATTTATTTTCTAAAGTTAGGATTAAATTGTTTCTCTTCTGTAAGCAGAAGTTAGGTTTGGGGAATTCATGTCTGCAAAATGACAAAGATAATTTATTACAAATGGCACTATCAGCCTTAATAAAGTTGGTTTCTTTTTTGAGACATTAGGTAAACTTGAATAACATATTCAGTAATGGGATGAGTTGGATTACGTGGGATAATTCTAAGAAATCACAGGTCAGCACAAAGCTTTTCTACAGCTTTTATATTAAATTTTATATTTTATATTAAATTTCAAGTTCATCAAATAGTACCAAAAAATTATATTCATATAAAAGAATGCCTGTTAATACTGTTAGGGCATAAAGTATTCAAAGAAACAGAACAAGAAAGTTGCTCCCACTGTAATCCAATCAGATTTTTCTTTAGAAACAAGTTAAATTCTCACAAAATAGAAATATCTACAAAAATCATGAATCCAGAGTGCTGACCTATATCTCATAATTAATCAAGAGCCTCTCCTTTTTAAAAAGTATACAATAATGAAAATTATATGGAATGCTACACATCAAGGTATCACTCACTGGTTTACATAGCAATTTTAGAGATATATAAGCTGGCTTTAGTGAGTTATAAGAAAAGACAGGAGAAAGTTTGTTTATATACATTTGTGAACATAAAAAAACAAGGCACTTAATGGCAACAGTGCTGTCCCAAAATATCTTACAGACCAGCTCCAGCAGGTAACCTTTGGTACAGCTCCTTAACCTCTTCATGTTTTGCTTTTCCTTTATCCACACTTTGCTTACGCATCTCAGCCATTTCAATACACCACTCCTCAAATTTTGAATTATCCCGATCTACCAGCGCTTGAAGAAAGGCTATTCAAAACAGAAAGACAAACAAAAGCTTTATTCTGGTTTTCAAAAACAGAGAACCATGCAGATCACTAGATTATATTAAATACTGACTAAAACTTTGGTAGCAACTTCCTACTGTGGTATCCCCTTCTGTTAGAGACCTCCAACATGAAAGCAGAAATAAAACTGAAGACAGCCACTGGAATGATTGCACGATGATCCCCCACCCGCCCCCCGTTCTCCATGACATCATCAGCCTCCCAGAACAATCAAAGGGCTCAAAAAACACCACTTCAAAATAGATGATGCCACAGAGCATAGAACAGTACTAAGTAAAATGACAAACACCAGCAGCAACTCTTCCTCTTTTTTTTAAGCTCCAGAAAGTATATAAACACTTGACTAAAATTCACAAGTGCTCTATAACTGAACAAAATAAAACCAAAATTACGCTTTAAATACATGTCTTGATTACTTTGTGATTTTTTAAAATTGCTTTTGCTTTTCTTTAAGGGAAGGTCAGTGGGCTGCTCTGAGGCTCCTTTATTTCAAAATCTCATTACTTTAAAGCAAATTTGTGATTAATGGTTACTCTTACCCATTTACCATATGGAAACAACCTATCATAATAAATAAAAGCAATCTGTTGCTTGTCACTAATCTTTGAGGATGGTATTCTAAAACATTTGCCCAATATAACCCTGGAAAATTGCTTACCTGGAACTTGAACAGTTGTGTTGGGCTTTTCTTGAGTTTGCAGTCTATAAACTAACATGTACGCATTGCGAGAGCAATGAGTTCCTTTGCCACACTTGGGTTTACGTGTTTGGGACTTAGAAGGTTCTGCTGAGGTAGAGAAATCAAAAGATGACTTAACTAGAATGCCTACAGTTTGCTCATTCTTGTGGGGTGGGGGCGGAGGTCACAGAAAACAATTTCCAAAATATGCACCCAAGATACTTTAACATGTATCCAAAACATTAAAAAGCCACACAAATTTAGTAGGCCCTTTATATTTTTGAATATTTAAAAAAAGTTCACTATCCGTCTCCCATGTAAAAAGAAAGTACTATTTTTTCTGAGAACCTGGAACCAAAAAAAACTACTACTGCTATGAGTTAGGTTTTTTTCTTTGGAGACAGAGTCTCACTTTGTTGCCCAGGCTAGATAGAGTGAGTGCCTTGGCGTCAGCCTAGCTCACAGTAATCTCAAACTCCTGGGCTCAAGCAATCCTCTTGCCTCAGCCTCCTGAGTAGCTGGGACTACAGGCATGCGCCACCATGCCCGGCTAATTTTTTCTATATATATTAGTTGGCCAATTAATTTCTATTTATAGTAGAGACGGGGTCTTGCTCTTGCTCAGGCTGGTTTCAAACTCCTGGCCTCGAGCAACCCACCCGTGGGCCTCCCAGAGTGCTAGGATTACAGGCATGAGCCACCGAGCCCGGCCCTATGAGTTACTTTTAATGTTAGTCTTAACTATACAAATTAACTTGGGCTGATGTAATTATGGAGGGGAACTTTAAATCTCTTGGTAACATTTTTATTCTTTATCTGAGTGTTTGGAACACAAGTACTTATTTAGTACTGTTTTTTAATATAAGAGTGCATACAAAATGTGTATGTACAGTTTGAAAAATAAAAAATTAGATGAGTAAATCATTTTAGTAAAGAGAAGCTCTTTAATTTAGTTAAATAACAAGAATAAACCCAGACTTAACCGCCTAAAGAAATAAAACAGCATATTTTGAAAAATGGAATAAAATGCTTACAAACAGAAAGATCAGTCACTAAACTCAATGAACTCGTAGCAAGTGGAAAACATTAATAGTTTGTGAGGCCAAGTGTATCACATGAAAGTGATATTCAAATTGTGTTTCAGTATCCCAGGGTTACTTCCCAAGGGGTAAGAGGTCATGAGCAGATCTGAGGAAATCCAATTACCAGATCCTAAATTCATTATATATTTTGCTAAAACTGATTTGCCTCAAAATAGATGTTCCAAGGTCGTTTCTACCTCTCCTTTCTCAATCATCTGTCTCCCACTTCACAAAAATAGATATATCCCCTCACCCAGTGACAAAAAAGGGTCTCATCCATTTCATTGAAAGACATAAAGATTTACTTTCTTTAATTGAATAAAATTTATAATTTATATTAATTTATAAATTAGTACAACTTATACTTTTATGAGTCTGATGAATTACATAGTAACATTCATAATTTCAAAAACAATACTCTACAATTTTTTCACTATTTGGAGGTTATGGTCACAAAAAACTTAGCATATTCCATTAGGATAGAATTCTGAAGGGAAGTGTTAGAAAGTCCTACTCAAAAAAGAATTGTTCATGTATCTCTGAAAAGGATGATAGTGGGTATCAAATCTCTATGGTATTTAATTTCACTTGGACAGTCTTTTAAAGAGTGATGTTGCAGTTCAAGTTTCAACATTTATAAATTTGTCATAAAATACATTATTTGGAGCTACTTAAATTTATGATGAAATATGTCAGATTTGAACATGTAGAAAGAAACACAAAAGTTGTTCAGCATTCTTATAGCTAATACATGAGCAAAAAGGTTTGAAGACCATTGTACCCTCACAGGAAATTAAAATAATCATAAGCCATGTTCAGGGAAGATGGAATTACTCATTCATTTCCAACTGAAGAGTATTCAAGATTTAAAATGTTCATTATTTTATATATGATAGAATATAAAATGATTCATAAAAGTTCAGGATAGAGGCCAGGCGTGGTGGCTCAGGCCTGTAATCCTAGCACTCTGGGAGGCCGAGGCGGGCGGATTGCTAGAGATCAGGAGTTCAAAACCAGCCTGAGCGAAACCCTGTCTCTACTAAAAATAGAAAGAAATTAATTGACCAACTAAAAATATGTATACAAAAAATTAGCCAGGCATGGTGGCGCATGCCTGTAGTCCCAGCTACTCGGGAGGCTGAGGCAGTAGGATCACTTGAGCCCAGGAGTTTGAGGTTGCTGTGAGCTAGGCTGATGCCATGGCACTCCACTCTAGCCGGGCCAACAAAGTGAGAACTGTTGCCAAAAAAAAAAAAAAAACAACAACAATAATAACAAAAAAGTTCAGGATAAAATATAGCAATGAATGTCTAATAGAATTTAATAAACAAATATTTTCTATTTTGATGTAAAAAACAAATGAAAGTTATGATACATATTATATATCCCAAAGATGTTTAAAACATTGTGATGGGATACTGATGGACATGAAGTCATCCTTTTTCTGAAACATGTTTAAAATTAGGACCCTCAGCCAATAATAGTATACGAGAATAGACCAAGACAACTTTAACCAACGCCCCTTTTCAATCCCCCTACAATTCTCTGACTAAAAAATGAACATAGATTAAATAAACCTCAGTAAAGAAACCATAGTCTACAGCCACCACTACCCCAGATATGGGCCCGATTCTTCCTAAATCTCAAGAAGCTATGGCAGGTTGGGCCTAGTTATACTTGGGTTGGGATGCAGAAGTCCCAAGATAAAAACGCAAAGAACATAATTATTCCACAATTTAAAGCTACATCTTAACTTTGTTCCCAGGTAAGAATACCAAGCAATTAAAAAACATACACTGTATGAAGCAAATGTTAAGAAATTTGAAGTTAGATGGCCGGCGCTGGTGGCCTCCACGCCTGTAATCCTAGCTCCTTGGAAGGCCGAGGGCCCGGGGCGGATTGCTCAAGGTCCAGGGTTCAAACCAGCCCCTGAGCCAAGAGGCGAGAACCCACGTCTCTACTATAAATAGATAAAGAAATTAATTGGCCAACTGATATATATGATACAAAAATTTAGCCGGCATGGTGGCGCATGTATGTAGTCCCCAGCTACCCGGGAGGCTGAGGCAAAGAAGGATCACCCTCGAGGCCAGGAGTTTGAGGTACTGTGAGCCAGGCTGAACGCCCACGGCACTCGCCACTCCTACATGGGCAACTAAAGTGACGACTCTGTCTCCAAAAAAAAAAAAAAAAAGAATTTGAGTTTAATAGCTTAAGGAACAACCGGAGCAAGACTGTTTCAGTCTGTAAACATGGTTTTTTAAATGTGATTTTTAAAAATAGAAAAATACATTCCCTCCAAACTGTAAGAATGTAGCTGGCTACATGAGTATTCTGCAGAGATGACGCCATATGCCCCAACCAGCCAAACCCCAACTGCCCATGCTCCTCCCTCTGTTGGCCACCTTGGAGAAGTGGCTCCCCTGAACCCACCTGAGCAAGA